ATACACACACGCATGTGCTACCTCTACTCTGAGGTCCTGTAGGTGTGTTGTATCTATTCGCATCCACCAGTCCAGGTCCAGTGACAAAGCCAAAAATCAGAAGGACATGAAGGGGCAAAAAAAGGCAGAGGCTTAGTGGAATGACAAAAATAGAGGCATTCATAAGGAAGGAGTAAAAGAAAGCCATAAAAACAAAAAGAAGTGGCACGCAACAACTTTGTTCCCCAGCGTTCCTTTTACAGCGGTAAAACAGGGATGAATCGGTCTCAGAGAAAAAAAAGTACAAAACGCTAAGAGGTTAAGAGGAAGAGGATTTGACACACTTCAGTAGTACTTCATCGTCCTTGACAGGAGGGGTGGTCAGGGGTTTTTGAGGGTTTCTTTCAGGGAGGATGGAGGGGCGGAGTAAGGGGGGAAGGAGGAGGAGCTTGTCAAGGATGCAGAATGGTGGAGAATAACACAGAAGGCTGACGGAGGCGGTCTCCCATCACAAGAGTTCATACTGCCGCAGGTGCATTCTCTGGATGATGTCCCGACAGTCATTGAACACCCGCCGGATGTTCTCTGTGTCCACGGCGCAGGTGAAGTGGGGGTAGCAGTAGTGTCTGCCATCGCCGCTCGCAGTGCTGATCCGCTGAGGGGAAAGAGACATCAGAGTGACATCATGTGATCTGTACTATGACCAGAGGAGGGGTTCGAGCTCCTCTTTTGGCTGTTTCTGACCCTGAATATGCTACAGCTAGCCTCTGAATTCCTTCAGTCTTCAGGTGTGCTGCTCTGGACTCTGAAAATGTCCCTTCCTTTTCAAGTATTTCATTCATTTTATAACCAAAGCTACCACCACATCCTGTCCCTGTAGCTTCAGCTTCGAGTTGTCACACTGCAGGCTGCAACCTGAGCGGAGTTTATATTTGTTTAGGTCAAACTCACTATTAGCAGTTCCTGTTTGCTAGGTACCCACAGACGTACAGACAATTATCAGTACATTGCTTTGATACTGAAGCAAGTTGAAAAGTGTGATAATAAGGAGCATCTCATCTATTTCTGAGCAGGTTTATGAGTATGGACTGAAACTGTACATCACACTGAATCTAAAAATACACATACGTGCATCATGTTTGTGCGTTCAGACTTGACTAAGCTATGACAAATTAATCAACATTGACCTGCCTGATTAAAGAAAATGCAATCAAATTCAGCAGAAAAACACCTAATCTGGTAAGACAACAGCCTGCGGTTTCATACCAAGTAAAGCAAAATGCAACAAACAAATGCATCCATGTTGTCACTCTTGACTGCAGTTTCCCTTTGATTACTAATACGCTTTTCCCCATTCAAATTAGTTGACACTCATTTTGAATCATCCTGTTTTGTTAAATGAATAAACTACTCATTTCTAAGCATTCCTGGGATTTTTCATCAAAGATGAAGTTTTATTTTAAAAACAAAACTGCACAAAATTAAACCTTAAATTCTAGTTAATTAATATTTTCTCATGTTACTCTTTGATTTTGTTAGATTATATAGTAATATGTTTTTAGTATTACAACACCTTCTAAATCATTTTCTCCCTGGTTTCAGGATATAGCAACAAGGCTGGCTGTTACAAACTAGTGTCACTCATCTGCAGTTGACTTGTCCTCATGAGAAGATCGGCATCAGCGGAAATGGTTTAAAGCTGCCTAAAACATGCAGGTGAACAAATCTATTCACAGCTGGACATTCCAGCACACTCTACAGTGATGTACTCACAAGAAACTCGTCTCGGATGAAGAACTTAGCTCTCGTCACTCTCGGGTCTTCACCAATTTCAGGAGTTGCTGAAAGAACACGAGATTAAAAGTTATCCCAGACCGATACAATAAGGTAAAAAGTGTGTGGAGTATTTAGTGGGGCACTAACCTTCATTTGGTATGGTGTAGCGAGCATATTCGGGGAAGTAGTCTTCAATTTTGGATTTTCCAGCTAATACTTTCTCAGCCAGCATGTCCTGCTTGTTCAGGAATAATATGACTGATATAGTGCGTAACCATCTGAAAAACAAATGCCATTCAATAATCAATATTAACACTGCTTGTAAATCAATCAACAGCAGCTCCCTAAAAGAACACAGCTGTTAGCATGTAGGTGTGTATGTATAAACTGTAGGTAAAGGGAGGCAAAAGGATCATCACACAATCATTTGGACATTTCTTATCCATTTCTGGAAGTCGTTTGCCAAGATCAGACTGCACAGTGCTTTAGATGGTTACTGTGTCAGCTTAGGTGATCAAATAGAGTGATGAATTCTTGCTGTGATTTGTCTTACCATTCCACATCACTGAATCTTAATCCTTTATGAATTAATCACCGGGATATGTTTAGAGAAAGTAAAATTACTGAACTCAAGATTTTACAAAGTCAACAATTTCTGATTTGGATTCAGCCTCCTGAAGACATCACACCACCTACTGTATATAAACCCACACTAAGACAGAAGAAAGTAAGAGAGAGTAGACATGAAAGCTCAAACCTTGCCTGTGTTTGTGTCTCACCTGTTGTTCCAAATACTGCGGAAGAGGTCCAGGGCTTCCCGTAGCCTGTTGGTGTTATTGTCTTCCCTTATTACCATGTTGTAGCTGCTGCTGGCCACCACGAAGATGATAGCAGTGACGTCTAGAATGAGGAGAGGAGCTATATCAGGGCCCATGTTTATCAGACTGCTACTAAACTAAGCACAAAATACACTTTTATACAAACAAAAGCAACAATAAAAACACTTCTTTTGACTTAGAAAGGCTCTTAAATTTAAGAGCGCTCCAGAGGTCTCTTAAGTTTGAGTTGGACATTTTCCACAGACCTTAGTACAGAAACAAAGCCAAGCATGATAATCAGTTTTTATTTGTACAGCCCAATATCACATACCTCAAATTTGTCTCAAGGGGCTTTACAATCTGTGCAGCATACAACACCCTTCATCCTTAGAACCACAAACCTTCCCAGAAAAAACCCTTTAACGGAGGAGTGATCCTCTTCCAATAACAATAATTCATACCAACTATTATAACTATATAAAGAATCATTAAGAGGGATGGGTATCGTTAGGATTTAATCAATTCCTATATTGATACCGCTTATGGAAACAGATAATTATTGATACTCCTATTGATACTACTCTCCATAATTTTGTGCAAAAAATAAAGATGCAATATGAAAGATGTAAAAGATTTCAACTTTTGTTATCATTACATTTTTGCTTTAGTAATCCAATATTTTAACAGTACTTCTTTTTATATACATACATAACCTACCAGGACAACAAGAGATGAACTGCAAGCTAGGCAGATGAAAACTGTGCATTTCTTCGCCTGTATGAGATGGACAGTTAAAGCTGGGGCTTAGCACCAGTTTCTGTTTAGTACTGGCCTCAGTGTCTGCACATGTCAGTGTGGCACTAAATTCTCCTCATTACACGACTTCTCTGGTGAACATCAACTACCCACATCAGAATATCTCACTGCAGAACAGGGTTTTCTTTTCAGCCAATTTCCTATTATTTCAGCCCTATTTGCTGTATAGAGTACAATATAAATATTAGACTGTTGTTCAGATTGGCTTCTCCTTCTCTGACCATACATGTGATTAATCATGAGAGCTGCTCTTAAAAGTTAACATCAACTACCCACATCAGAATATCTCCCCTTATTGCTCACATTTAAGATTTCTTAAATGTAATTCCTAGAAGTTTGATAAATACAGGTCCTGGGCAGCTGTTTGATATCACACGTGTGCAGCAATAACCCAAAAATAAGAAGTGATGTGATACTGAAGCTGGCACAAAACAGGCAAGATGTGATAGGAGGAGAACGTGTTGTTGGTTGAGAATGCACAGTGTTGCTACCTGAAGAGAACGAAGAATAAACAGGCTGAAAGTCTCACCATTAAAGCACTGGATCCATTTTCTCCTTTCATCTCTCTGGCCCCCAACATCAAACATGCTGTGGAGGAGACAAGACACTGTCAGTCTGAGACACAACTGCACTCGCTGCTGCCCTCTTCTGACCAGAGTTTGTATTTCTTGTGTGACACGACTGGTGGCTTCAGGTACATATTGTACTGTAGTCAGTTGGCATAAGAACATTTACACACTGGGTTTATTTCAATGATCATTCACATAAATAGGCATTTATTTACATCAACACAACAACAGATTTCTGTCTTGAGCTAAACCTGCTCCTAATCTCAGGTCTGGTTTGCAAAAGAGATCTTATATCTAAATGGAACAAGCCTGGCTACTTGAAAAATCAATTAATGAATAAATAATATGAAAAACAGCATTATTTGCACAGACTCTGTGCCTTGTGGAACCCTGGCTAGAAGTTTGGAAGTCATCTAGGATGAATAATAAAAAATGCACACCCAAAGGGAAGTCATGTCCCAGAGCATGTGCAAGTATTCAGGATGATATATTTTAATACAAAAGACCACTGCACATGGTAAATTAAAGCTGTTGTGTCTGTGGCTGCGGAAATGGGTCATCTCATCTGACATCATCACAGCAGTTACAACACATTTACTCTAACCTTTATCAGCTGCTCTTATAACTGCAGCCAACGGTCAATAACTGTCAACTGGCTTCATGTCAGGTTATGTTTTAGGCACTTAGGTGATACTCCTTTCCACCTCAGCCTGCAGCCGCCGAGCAGGTCGGAGCTCAGTGTTTTTGTTCAAGGACACGATGCTGTTACAGGCTATAATGTATGACATTAAAGGCTCTTAACATAAGACTAAGGTAAATATAGCAATAACACCCAAAAGGATATTCTTAGAACTGGGGTTATTATTACTGCAGTAGTGATGTAAAAGGGGGGCACAAAGATATTTTTAAGAAAGCCAGTAATTCACAGAAAATGAAAAATGCCTGATTCTCTTTTCCAGGATTTTGTGACAGATTTAGGGAAAGTTGTGGCAAAAGAAAGAATATTATTCTATATGCGGACAGGACAGAAAAGCATCTTAAGTGGGTGTCTGTGGTTCTTTTCTTTAAGGTGTTAGCGAAAGAATGAAGTGAAACCACAGGTGACACCGATTTCCATTGAGTTATGTTTTTGTATGTTCTGTCTTGTTTCTTTTCCCAGGATTTCTGCAGGCTATGTCAGGTTAAAGGATAAGGCTGGTGATTTTCAGTGTTTTGGTTATTTTCAAAACATCTCATCCAGAGACTAAAACCAACATTATGGTGGGCTCGCCATAATGTCTATGAACCTGACTTAGTTTACTGGTCTGTGCCGTACACCTCCACAAACTAATAAAAACACACCAGTGAGCCACATCGCTGTACTGGGTGACATGTTTCTCACCACAAAAAGCGAGCTGCATACAACAATAACAGTCTTAAGACCGTAGTAAATAAAATGTAAATCAATGCTTTTAAGACTTTTCAAGAGCTGCAGAAACCTTGTTTTCTCAAAGAAGATAACTTACAACTGTATTTTGACTGATCCCTCTTGTTCTGTGTTTGAGTGGAGGTAGGAAATTCTGTCTTTGAAAATATATATATATTTTTATTTTCCGGTACTGATGTTAGAAATCACAAGTCATAAAAAATATGTCCATCAGACTATATGGTGTTTTTATATTATTCCAACTTTACTCAAAATAGCAAATTAGTTGGTTTTTAGCGGTGGCAAAAAATAAAGTGCTTCTGGGTGGCTTTACTTTTAGAGAATTTTAATCAGCACAGATAGAGCATTTCCTTGACCAACCATGGAAAAACAGGTTGAACAACAAAGCATAAACTATGAATAAACTAAGGACAAACATGTCTCCATCATGTGTTTTATGTCTGAGAAAAAGCTGAGTGAACGCTTACTGAAAGTTCACTTTGTCTACTTGGAACCTCGTCTCGAAAATCCCTGAAGTTAACACTCGACAGCGCAGCAGGTCCTGTAAAACATGAAAATCAATGAGCTGTTCAGTTTAGACAAAAAAAAAAAAAAAAAAAAAAAGGTTTTTCAATGATTAATATCCTTTATACTGTACAGATGAACAGGACTACTGACCTGGTCTGTTGGGGTGTAGTCGCTCTGTCTTACAGAGTCAATTCTGTCCAGGAAACTGCAAAGAAACAGAACAGAGTCAGACTTTGCACTGAGGTCTATACTCTTCTATAGGCTGCAAGAACATGGAACCCATTAAGATTCAACTACATTAAATAATTGAATGTCACTACATAAGAAAAGTAGGAAATGAATGACCTGTCTATATAAATTATGATTCCACAAAAAAACCAAGCCCTAAGCAGTGAGCCACAGTTCATCTCAATGAAAACCCAAAGCTACTTTCTCATTAAACCAATCCAAAAACAAATGAATCCATTTATATAAACCTCCCCATTAACTGCAAATATTCAGATTAGATCACACCACAAATGTAGCATCATTCATTAATCCATCTCTCATGCAGTACCAGTCTGAAATGCATATTCAGTGATTCATGTAAGCTCAGTGAATGCTGGGAGAGGCAGCCTTCATGTCTGACTAGAGGCTCTGCAGGCCAGTCTGAACACAGCTGGTCGCCACAAGAGGGCAGGACTGTTCAGTCTGGGTTATTTTGGTCTGTCTCTAGCCAGAGTGATTACATAAGGCGGTTAGACAACTTGCTGCCATCCCTTCACTACTGACAGAGCATGTGTGGCAGTGGAGGAAGCAGCATCAGCAGCAGCTGGGACTCTCCACAACATAACGGGCAGGCTGAGGAGACATGCATACAGACCCATGGATGGTCTGGATCACACCATGAAAACAACTCCCAACAAGGGTGGTATAATGGCATGAATGCATACAGTCTAAACCAAAGACTGTATTAATACACTGCTGTGGAAAATGATCATAAGATGGAATTTGATGTGACTGATGTGTATGATATGTACACATCAATAAAATGAAATAGATTCACATGGCAGAAGAGGTGTAGGGGTTCATGGGGGCGCCCTGTAGCAATGCTAGTGATGATAAAAATAAATTAAACTGCCAAATGGTGAAAGAAATTTTTTGATCAGAGTAAAATAAGTAAAGAAGGTTCTGGGTTCGAGCCCCAGCCAGCCTGGTGCCTTTCTGTGTGGAGATTGCATGTTCTCCCTGTTCCTGTGGGGGTTCTCTCTGGCTTCCTCCCACAGTCCAAAGACATGCAGCTTAGGTTGACTGGTGACTCTAAATTGCCTGTAGGAGTGTGTGTGTGTGGTTGTTTGTCTACATGTCAGCCCTGTGAAAGACTGGTGACCTGTCCAGGGTGGACCCTGCCTCTCACCCAATGTCAGCTGTGATTGGCTCCAGTCCCCCCGCAACCCTTGTTAGGATAGGTGGTATAGATAATGGATGGATGCATGGAGTAAATTAAGCACCAACAACAGATAAAGGTGTGTCAGGTCTTTCTTGAAGAGTGACTCTGGTACGTGGACCAAACAGCCTAGTGCATCTCAGCAGCCCTCATACTTCACCCAAACTGTCTGTGGACTCAGGATGTCACAACAGACAACATGGCTACAAGAAACCTGATGCACATAAGGTTTAGCCTGAGACAGTTGTCAGTTCATGCCCAACTCAGTCCTTAAAACGTATGTTACACACACAAGGAATTTGTCTCCGGTACAGAAGGGAGGCAGCCATCTGCAGCGGCAACTCACACACACACACTAGATGGTGGAGCTGCCCCTGCAAGGCACTGGTCATCTGGAACAACTTGTGGTCCAGTGTCTTGCCCAAGGACACTTCGGCGCGTGGACTGGGGAGAACAGGAATCAAACCGCCAACCTTCTGGTTGGGGGACAACCGTTCTACCTCCTGATCCACAGCTGATGTAAGCAATGCAGGTTTCCAAAAATGTTTGACAAAGCAGGAGAAATGTTCACAATATTTGCTTAAAACCTGTGGGAATAGGGCTGCATTTACCATTGTTCTCATTTTCATTACCAATTAGGCTGCTGATTGGTTTCTTAATTGTTTAATCTAAATAATAATAATAATAATGTTAGAAAATAGTGTAAAATGCCCACCACAAATTCACAAACATATTCAACTTAACATCACAGGAGACAAAAGCACAACTGAAAAGTCAAAACCAGGACGTGTTTGACAATTAGAATGAAAAAGTTAGCTGAATGTTAACAAAACAGGCCAACTACCAAAGCAGTTGATGATTTCTATTCCGCTGATCAACTAAAACACAATTATTTGCATCAGTTTGTCTATTAGTGCTTCTCTGAGACAAAGACAAGCACAACCAGCAAACACATCGGACTGTTTTCCGAGAAGACACACACTCATCTCTGCTGAATATAGTCACACAAAAACATCAGCACAACTTCCAAAAACCTCCAGCTTTTGCCCCATCACTGCAACAATGTGGGAGTATTTTTAGTCAGCCTTCCTTGCAGAAACCTAGCTAGGTTATAATTACTGAGCGCTTTGTGACTGCCATGTGACAGAAGTACTATCGGTAGAGCAGCAAAGAGCCAAATATAGTCTTCGTACCCAGCAAGAAACACACACACAAAAGAACAAGGGCCCTGAATCCACAAAAAATGCAGAAAAAGATAACACTGATTACAGAGTGGCTGTCCAGATAAAGCCTTAACAAAAGGTTTGGGTGCAGTTTTCAGTGACTATGGCTGTTCTGGCGGACTGCTACAAACAGACAAGTCATGTTTCAGGTCCAGGGAAATCTGTGGTTTGTCCTGGTTTCTTCAGAGTTCTCCCAGTACAGTCCTCTGTTGGCATCATTATGCGACGTGGTCGTTCTGGGCAAATTTGTGGGTTTGAAGGATAAAAAGGCTGCTGGTTTGTCACTTTGTTCTTAGTATGTCCACAGTACTAATTTGTCTTTGTTGTTCCCACATTAAAGTCTGTTGGCAACCATCAAATCTCACTACTCCAGCTGAAACTTCTCATTCATCTTTTTATCCTTACACCCCCCACCCCACCCACACACATCAAGGGGCCTTTTATTATTCAATGACAGTTTGTTCTGAATTGGCAGGATAAATTTAAAAGTCCTCTACTATCTTGTCTATTACAGTCCCTCTCTTTGTGTCTGCTGGGATGGGTTGTCTCTGTATTTAGCTAAAACACGCTGTACTCGTCCTGCGGGCCTGTCTGTGTTGCTATGTATAGGCTTTGTTGTGGACAGTATCACTTGACTTGGCCGTGTCTTTCTCTTTTGTTGGCCTGATCTTTCCATAAACCCCAACACAAGTATGAATACACACACACACACACACACACACACAGCCAAAAGCCACACCAATATGCCGAGGGACAGTTGATGCTGGGGGTATCAGGCCTCGGCTCCCACATGGTCCAGGTCACATGCTGCTGCCCACTGAGCAGAAATGAATGTAGAGGGGTGGTGGTGGTGGTAATAGCAGAGAGGTGGAGATTTTAAAAGGCGTCATACCATCGCTCTCGGAAACAGATCACCCAGCTCCACTGGGGCTTCTTCCTGAACCAGAGTACTGATACAAGCTTCTTGTGTATCATTTCAGAGCCACAAAAAACAAATAAACAAACAGGCCTAAATGCAAATAAAGCTACAGGGTAAAGCAGCAACTGGCAACAAAAGTGAACAAAACAATTAAGTTTAAACATTCAAATGTGTGGCAAAATACACATGCATAAAGATAACACAGGCCTAAAATCAAAGTGCTATGTAAAAAAATAAAAAAAAGAGTTGCAACAATGTTGGAGTAAAAGCTGGAAAAAAAAATCCCCAACCAACAATCAACCTTCCCACCAACCAACGATGCCCAGCCTCATGTGCTCATCTGATAATTGGGTTGACTTTTTTACAAATAGTGGACCATCTCTAATTAGCAGTGCAGAGGATCCAATCAATAGTTTCCATATTTTGAGCCACTCAGGCCAGCATAATGGACCTTCACTCAGTCTCCAGCTGACTGGTGGCAGTGTTTTAAACAGCAGCACTGCCACCACACTGTTACTCTCTGGTAAAGAGTTATTTAAATGTTTCTGTTATACATTTTTTCAGCTGTATTTCAGGTTCATTTTGCCATGATCAAAGACAACCATTTAATGTATAAATTCATCATATTTACTGGGAGTAAAGAGAACAACAGCATTACTATGAGCAGAAATATTTACCAAGGATATACAAGGATACACCACCTAAAGTAACTCAAAGCCAATTTACAGTACCAACCACTCTGACAATGATGTCTATGAGGTGCAAAAACAGGTGTCTCTTAGTTTTGAGTCTCACTGAACCCACTAGCAGCTGAGCAGGTAGGGTAGCTTTAAGTACTGGATCTGGGGCTGCAACTAGCAACCATTTTCATTACCGGTCAGTTATTGCCTCTGTGACATGTTCTTATTTTGCTCAACCAACAGTCCAAAACCCAAAGATATTGCATTTACAATAATATAAAAGAGAGATAATTAGGAAATCCTGATATATTGGTTGGAAAGAGACCAATTCAATATTTTGCTAAAAATGTTACTTAAAAAAAAAAAGAAGCTTTTAATTGATCAGTTATCTGGCTAACCATGTCAGCTCTACTTGAGTCATTCCAAACATGACATGCCTGTCAAACTGGAATCTAATACCTCAGCTTGAGAACATTACAGTCATGCTTCATGTGTCTGCTCTTGCAAAACACACCCAGTATCGTAACAAAAACAGCTGCACAACACAGCTCATCACATAACAGACTGGCAGAGGCATCAGCTGGTACAGCACCCAGAGCCATGTGCAGCAGGACAAAGTGAAGCTGGAACTGTGCAGGATCCTGATCACCTGGTGGAAAGATCCGAGTCTGGGGTTCAAACTCATCCATCCAAACAGGAACACTGTGCAGTTTGGGAGATGGATCCAAAACTAGACAAATCCATCAATGGCTCAGTGGGTACTTCCTAAATATAGAAGGAAGAACGGAGACACTCCTGAAAGTCAAACCAAACCTTGTGTAAACAAAAGCACCTGTTTTATCTCAAGGCCACCAATTCGCCTTCCAGGGCTGCATCAAATCATGGTTTTGAAAGGTGATGTATAAAAACGTAAAATACATTGTAATGGCCTTTTGTCTCTGTTCATTGTCTACATGG